ACATGTACATTCTTTCTTCTTGGGAGAATGTCGTGTTGGTGTATTTCCGGCGAGGTCCACGCATGAATGGCCGGGGCCCGTGCTGGTATATACTCCGAGCTGAACAGCGGGAAAGGAAAAGAGATTTTCAAATCGTGCAAACCCCTCGTGTGGCACTTGAATCGTGTCATGTCTCGAGGCCCGAAATTTGCTACTTAATATTTTACTTTTGATGGAGCCTGAATGAATTAGAAAAGTCTTCGGGTATTATCACTCCACACGCCAGCCAGATGACCTGACTTTCCTTCCCTCAAGTGATCACGTCCTCACGAAGGGGAAATGACTTCTTGACGTAGCCGACACCGGAAGATTGTCATGCGTTCGTGCCGTCACTAAAGGTAAGTGATTCTGACCACTAGCCGTGAATGGGCCCTAGCTTCTCTGATTTCTTAGGTCACATTGCCCAGGAACTGGCATCCATGCGTACGCTGTACCCCACTAAGGCAATTACTTTTTGCAGCTATAACAAGATTAAAAAACTACATCTTATTCTTCCACGCCTGAATGACTACCTCACTTGTCCCTCAAAACTCTCTGGACAGAGAGAAGGAAAGCATAACGATCGAGGTCAAGTCTAACAAGCGTGCCAATGACATCGATGTCGGTGCCATCGACCTTCCTGAACCGGGTACTCCAGAGAGGCTGGAAGCCGAACGCAAACTCGTTCGAAAGCTCGACTCAAGGTTGCTGCCGACTGTCTTCATCATATTTGTTATGAATTACATTGATGTAAGAACTTCAAGACTGCTGATGCAGAACATGTTGACTCAATCGCGCAGCGAAACGGCATCACAACGGCTAGACTGAAAGGCATGCAGCAGGATCTGGATATCTCGGGTTGGTATAACTATCAAATGATGGCCAATATTTGGCTGATTTCCTCGAAGATATACAATATGCTACAGTGATTGCAGTCCTCTATGCCTCGTACTGTCCAGCTCAGATTCCTTCAAATATGGTATGGTAAAGTAATGTTTTCAGCCTGAGAATTTCTGATGTGCTCTGTCTATGGACAGCTCCTTAATTATCTCTCCCGGTAGAACATTACTTATGCTGGTACGACTTGAGCCATATCTGACTGATTCATAGGCCGTCTTTATACATTGGTCTCTGTGTAGTCCTCTGGGGACTTACTAGTGCACTTACAGGTGTTCGTTAGCCCCATCGTTTCGTTAAGCATTGTCAAGGATGCTCAAGCCTGTAGCAGGTGACGAGAAATTTTGCCGGGATTATAGCATGTCGCTTGTTTATCGGCCTCCCAGAGTCAGCATTTTATCCCGGGGCGTCGTACCTCTTGTCACGATGGTACACGAAGAAGGTAATCAGCTTATCATTATACGGATCATATTACCTATCAAACTATGCAGGAGTTAGCTTTTAGGTCCGCTATTCTCTACGCTGGGCTCCTGATTTCAAACGCGTTTGGAGCTGTAGGCCAATAAATGTCTTCGGGATGCCTATAATTAACATGCGTACTCTTTTCCAAGCTTATGGCCGCTGGGATACTTGCGAACATGGAGGGGAAGCGTGGCATTCGAGCCTGGCGATGGTAGTTAAAGGCATTATTGTATCAAATGCCACCTTCACTGACTTCTCCTGGAGGTTATTTTTCATTGAGGTATAAACGAACTTCATAGCATAGCCAACATGCCCCTTATCTCGTTTACAGGGATCTATCACAATAACCATCGGATTTGCTAGCATGTTAATTGTTCACCCTCATAAACTCGGCTCTACTACTTACGGCTCCACAATAGGTGGCTTCTGCCGAACTATGTAAGCTACCGCTGCTGACTTTGGCCCATGTTCAAATCTTGTATTCATCTTATCAGCCGCAAAATACGTCTTGGATGTCTAGCTATGAACGCCATCTTGCTCAAGCCCGAATATCTGAAGATGCAGGAGAAGCTGACCAAGATAACGCCGAAGATTCGTATGTCTATTCTTTGCAAACGTTAGACTGGTATCCACTCCTGGAATACTTTAGTCCCCTGAAGGGTCTCAAGATGGCCATCAGTGACCCGCTTGTCCTAATTTTCACTCTTCAAACGGTTTCGCAGCTTTTAGGCCTCAGTTTTGTGAACTTCTTCCCAACGTACGCGCAGCCGACTTAAACTATGCTATGACATCTTTATCTCTCTTCTGAAGTTTGACACAAACTCTCGGTTTCTCGACGACGATTAGCCTATTGCTGGCTGCGTACGAGCGTCTTAAACGCATTTATTTCCTAATATAATTACTGACCTTTCTAGGCCTCCGTGGGTTTTTGCGAGTATTGTCTGTTGTGTTAGCGCGTGGCATGCGGATAAAACTGGCGAAAGATTTTTCCACATCGCTGGATGGTGGTGGGGAGTCATAGTCGGCTTCATCATCGCGCTTTCAACTATGAATGTTGCTGCTCGATACGTTTCGATGTTTCTTATGGCTTCCGGATATGCCGGTAAGTTTACTCAAAACGCTGTCATGCAGACAGATGAGGACCGCGTATTAGGCTTTGCAATAACCCTTACATGGGTGTCCAATTCAGTTCCACGGCCACCAGCGTATTAAATTCATCGTTCCTCGTCGGATTCTGCTGAGCCTCGTCGCTTTGACAGGAAGCGTGCTGCAGCAATAGCTATAGTTAACGGCGTTGGGAATCTGGGAAATCTGTTTGTCGTGGATCTTAGACCGATTTTCTCCGCACTGATAGGCCTCTATCATACAGAATGGGATCATATACGTGGAAGGCAGTATGGGGCCCCGAATACCACCAATCAATGGTCATTTCGCTCGCTGCTTTAGCATTTAGCACTTTTCTTGCATGGGGTAAGCTTTTTCCCATCCCGAGGTCTTTTCCAGAGCCTGAAATTTCTTGATTGAAAGTGACAAGGCAGATTCTTATTCAGAAGAACAAAAAGTTGGACGAAGATGAGAATGCCGCTTTGAAAGATGCGGACCGTTCCAGAGTTGAAGAAGCAGCTCGCCTCGAAGGCCTCACTTTTGAACAAGCGATGGAAAGGCGAAAGGGGTATCGATATCTTTACTAACCAACTGAAGCACTAAAGGAACCTTGTGTACAACCTTAGCCTTTTGTGGCCGCTCAATTATTGCTTATTTGCCCAAGAATTGGTTGTTTTGGAGACCAGAGTTGATTATTTCTTATCAGTGATGTGTTGCCCAAGTGGAAATATTCTTTTTTTTCGTACAGTGAGGACATCTGAGTCAGTCGTTTCTCGAGTTTTTTCATCATATGTACTTATAGAGTCAATTATTCTACATGCCACTAAGTTGAAAGATATGGTGCATCTGTAATTTCACGGGAATTCTTAGGATCCGATAAGCTCAAAGCTTCACATTGCATCTTCCATAATGTCTTCTGCTGCGTCACAGCGCCACATAACGCGACTCCGACGTTCAATACCAATCATTAAACCATCTTTTTGATGAAGGTTTACTCACATGGACGCTTTGCTTTGATGGCGCTCCGCAATAGACTGTCTGAGCTTCTCATACACTATCTTGTGATATTCAAGTACCACAAAGACAGGATTGCTGTAGGTCACTACTACTAAGGAACTTTGTGTATCATCGTTGTGGTGAGCCGGACAACAGTCTGCAAAGATACCAGAGCCAACAATGGTACATACGCAGACAGAATACCAAAGAAAGGAAGAAGGAAACAAGATCGGTCAGTGGCGGATATAGAGGGGAACGGAAGCAAACACGGAGGCAAAGCACTGACATGGTACATATACAGAGGTAAAGTCCAGGAGTCGTAATCGTAAGATTACAATTGCACAAAGAAGTTCTAGCGTGACCATAGCATCTTGGAGAAACCTAACCTTGAGGTTGAAAACGTCCTCTCGCGACGTGTACTTGCTAAGTGTAGGATATCAGCATACCACCTCCATATTTACATTAGTAGTTCGTATACAGATAGACAGACCAGCACACAGTACAAGGCAATATCTACGATACAGTCTGCCGACTCTGACTTCCACTCACTATATGGTATAATGCGAGGCCACCGATGCCTAGGCAAAAAAGCCGGACCAAAAGAAGAAACCAATACCCTGTAGTCAACCTGTTATACCTCGCCCCTAATTTGTCGACATAAGAGAATGTGAATCCTTTAAGATCATCGAATACGGAGTGAAAATAAATATAGCGATCGTCGACTGTACCTACGTAGTAAATCAGGCCACGACGCTCGTTAAAGGATGTATGATTTAAACTCTTACCGGGAAGCAGTCCGTGAAAAATGAAGCTCAAGTTGAAGATGAGAGAAACCACAAATTCGTGAAGGAGGAGAAGAGGGATCAAGACTATTATGGGCCCGAAGAAGATCGACAGAGACACGATGTAAACAATGTGCGTATGTGTTGCGACTGAAAGATCCAAAGTTGACGTTGTGTACATGGACTGAAGACAACAAGAGACTGACAGAACCACTGCGCTGCATGGAATATTTGGATTGGCCATCGTTCTGGATGTTCAAAGGCTGAGCGCAAGCATTCGACTATAGTTGTACACGTTCAATACCGTGAGGGTGAAACTGTAGCAAGACACAACGACGAACCGATGTCTTCCCAGATGAAGTGTTGTGGCCACTGCCATTGAACATGGAGAAGTTGGGTATTTTGATGGATCTCTCCTGTTTGACTAGGAGTCAGAAAGCAAGACTTCAATGAGCGACGGCTACTGACCGAGGTACATCACTGTCCATCGAGCAACCTGCTTAATGAGGTAGACGAGGTCAACAACTTCTGAGCTCAGAAGACTACCAGGAGAGTAGAGCTGGGGTACTAAATACATTGCAGGGAAGTCAGAAGGCGGTAAAGAACGGAGTTTTTGCCATGCATGCCTGCAGCATGGCTAGTTTCAAGCTTGGAATGTCGATACGTAATGAATCGGTTTTTTGCATCCGCGCAGCTCTTTTTGAGGACAATGTATTGCGTAACATTCAACTAATATTATATTCGGATATGGTGTAACGGCTAACATTGCCGCCTCTCATGAATGTGAGCGCGGCAGCTCGGGGTTCGATTCCCCGTATCCGAATTTTTGGCAGTTTATTCCATTCCTGTCCTTAAGAAATTGTCAGAATGAATTCTCCCTTTGTGAATCACATCATCCGCATAATCACAATCTTCACATTAGACAATTATGTTGATAGTCTATGACCTATCATTCCTCATATCTGTTGTGGTCCATTTTGTCTATTTGTCGCCCATCCTTGACCTATTCAGACACTGCCAGAGCTCGCCAGTTTACTTGCCTGATGCCCAACAGTCTTCTCAATAACAGCTTTAACAAGATCAACATCAGGCCGCTCGACATCAATCACGCGTTTGTCTTTTTCGAGCAGGCCGCGGAACTCCTGCGGGAGAACGTCACGGTCGAAGTCGAAGCGTGTGTCGTCCTTCAAAGCCCGAGAGACTGCCTCGGAGAACTTTGCAGGATGCGCAGTGGAAAGAACAATTTGACGAACGTTTTCACGGCTAATGCGGGGGTAAGGATCGCTTCCAGGAGAATGTATGATAGCTCACCTTTGTCTTGCAACGACGCGAGCGGCAGCGAGGCCGACCGCGGTGTGAGGGTCGGCGATGTACGAGACAGCACCGTTGAAGAAAGATTGTATCGTAGCAAGGGTCTGAAATTCACGAAGACTTAGACTGGTACGCATCTAGGAGAAGATACAGTAATACCTCTTCATCTGATATTCTTTCGGCTGCGAAGTCTTTCCTCGCAGAAAGGAGGACGTTGACCGGCAACTTTACACGTCCGTCCTCCTTCAGGCTAGACATCCAGCTGCCAAGTAGATTGCAAGCTTCCATCTCTTTTTCTGCCTGACTTCCAGATGTGTTTTCAAATGCGAGATACCATAATAGTCGTTCAAAATTACTCGAGACCAAGATATCCATAGCGGGACTGAGGGTTTCTTTAACTCCGCATGTTGCCGTACCTTGCTTACCATCGGATGATCCATCTGCTGGAGCGGTGGCGCCGGATGAGCTATCATGACCTGAACTTGGGTCCACCTTCTCGTAACTACCACTTTTCCAGAATCGTGCAAGAATATCGTTTTCGTTAGTCGCCACTACTAGCCTAGACACCGGGAGGCCCATCCGCTTGGCATAGTAGCCAGCCAGGATGTCGCCGAAGTTGCCGGTGGGCACGACGAACTCGACCCCAACGTCGTCGATGTTGGTGTCTGTTGAAAGTTGCAGCTGGGATTGGAGTTGGAAGTAGGCGAGGAAATAGTAGACCGTCTGAGCAAGGATACGTGCCCAATTGATTGAGTTGACGGCAGCGAGGCGATGGGTGGAATTGAATTCGCGATCGGCGAAAAGAGATTTTACTATGTCCTGGACGTGCATCAGAGTTGCATTATAATGGTCTGAGGATCATACGAACTTGACAATCATCGAACGTTCCCTTTACGGCGACATTGTGTACGTTTGCGTCTGTAACCGTGGTCATTTGTGCCTCCTGGATGGGAGATACACGGCCTTTTGGGTGAAGGATGAAGATGGATACATTGGCCTTTCCGCGAAGACCATAGATGGCTGCGCTAGAGGGAGATTGATGCGAAGAATCCTTCTTAACAGATGGATAACAGACCTTCCTGTATCTCCACTAGTGGCTCCGACAACTGTCAGTTTCTCAAGCTCAGCACCGGCAGATTTGGCAGCATTTCTGCGAAGCAGGAAGAACTCGAACAAATTGCCAAGGAGTTGTAGTGCCACGTCCTTGAAAGCAAAGGTAGGCCCGTGAAACAGCTCCAACACGAAGGTCTTGTCATCCAAACTCTTTAGCGGGGTGACATCTGGATGCCGAAAGGTTTTGTATGACTTCTCGACGAGTTGTCGTAGCTCTGATTCGGAGATCTCATCCTCCGAGATGTAAAGAGAGAGAACGGCGACCGAGAGATCCACGAAAGAATAATTCTTCCAGTCCGATCGCCAATTTTCAGGAAGAGTGGGAATGTACTCCGGTATGTAGAGACCACCGTTCGGTGCCAGGCCTGTCAAGACCGTCTGCGATAACGAAATGATCAGACGACACACATCTGAGATAGGAAAGAGTTGAACCTCTTCAAATGACAACCTTTCGTTGCCACCACGTGTAGAGAGATACTTCATAATTGATGCGACGTGGAAGCTACTAAATTGTCCTCCGCTAGTTCCCTTCGGCCGTGACTCAGACCGTGGTCCAGATGGTTGGCTACGGCACTAGAAATCAACATCCGAATGTCCGAACGTGGTTGAAGCAAGGACAAATGGGCTAAAAATGAGAACATATGACCCCACATGAACGTATGTTGCTGCACATGCTGCTGTGATAAATTTCGTCCGTCAATGGGCGACTCGTCTGCTCCTCTGAACGACCGTGATCATGCAAAGCGATCACGGGTATACCCTCGAGGCCGAGTCATCAGGGACCCGGAGGTCGATAAGGTCAAAATTCAATATTCAATATTCTCAGAAGTAGACGATGATTCACATGAATCTTGCCATTGAATTTCTTATTTGACCATCCTTCATAATTTTTGGCGCGCTTCCTGCAGTATGTAATTAAAGACACCCTTTTTTTTGGAAGATGATCCACGTGCTCCACTCTCGACTCCTTGTTTTGGACGGAGATTAGATTGTATTTCTCTATTGGCTGCTCGAAGCTGCCTTGACCGTCGTGGCTGTGCACGATCGACGGGAGACAAAGCCGTTCTCGGACCTTTGTCACCACTCCCAATTCACTCGATGGCCAGCAATTGTTTACTGTGTGCCGGGCGCATGACGTTAGAACATGACCTATCCCTTTGCCTCGACGACTATATAACAATTCTTGCCTCTTGTCCAAACCTTAGCCCTCTTCTCGTCTAATCATGCACAGTAACTTCCAAATTGCACAGTCCAGACTACCATTCTTCATAACCGTTCTCGTGCTGCTGCGCAGCACACACGCACATGTTGTGCCATGGCACAAAGGTAGTTTATTTTGGCTTCCTTGTAATACTTGAAGCCATATTCTTTCCCGAGGAATGTACTGCTTGAATGGAACTTCTGGACAAGATAATCCTTCAACCAACGACGCAGTGAATCCTTTGTACCAGGTATGCGAAAGGCCTTTTCATCTTATCATCGTCTAACTTACGTCTGTCCAAGTTATCCTTCCAAGACTGGTGGATGCATCATGTCAATGGTGTACGTTCATCAGCTGGGGACAGGAGCTCCAATAACTTACAGCTTGTCCGACTTTAGTGCGATCAGCTCCCTCCAGCTCCCGGTGACTTTCTCGAGCTGTAAGCCGTGATGCTGCCCCTTCAAACTTTACCTAAATTGGCCTGTCACACTGACTAGGCCTGCCAATGGTAATTTTACCGTAGAACTAGCTGTAAACCGTGCCTTTACAAGTCTTTCCTATGATGGAAGGTTTGTTAATACTTTTGGTGACGGACGGCCTCATCCAGGCCTGGGGAACACACCTTCCGGTCAGGTGCCCTCCTGTATCACTGAGCCAAACAGTGCGTCTTTTCATAGGCTCTCATAATGATGATGACAATTGACAATCATGCTTTGTAGTACACACGCAGAATCAAACTATGGCCGCTGGGTCCGCTTTTGCTATCTCATATACAGTGCGTGACTTATCTGGTATTCTGATAGTATGAAATTGAATTCACCCACGCCCCCCAGTCGGATATCACACAAGTCACACCAGAAAACTTGGTGGTATTTACTGTTCAGTATAAGTAAGCTATTGTCCATATTAACGATGATGTACTGTGATTTAATGAGTTTAGTACCCCGTGGGAGCTCCTTACAACTTACTCTGTGCCTAATCTCCCAGCCTGTCCTCCAGATGGATGTATCTGTGCAGTAAGTTGTCTCGTGCCTCCTGTTCCTACCGTTGTTTACTTGGCATCTAGTGGGGCTGGGTCTGTTTTTATAACTCTTCTCCGACCATAGTTACTGACGATATCCGAATTTGACTAAATTTTAGGTCCCTAATGGGTACGTTGTATACAATATCTATCTGTCATTTTGTGTTCAATCATCCTCGTCAAATTTTAGCTGTGGAGAACCGAACATGTACATGCTGCCCTATATGTGTAAAGTGATAGGAGTTACCGGGGACGATGCGGTTGCACCGGGTGTTCCGGCCGTCTGGTGCGAAGATGACCCCTCCCAATGCATTTCCGGCGCGAAACAAATGATATATTGGAACCAGGCCGAGGGGAATAATATCGAAGTGAGTGGCACGGATCTGGCGGGGGATCCGAGGTCGCCAGCGTATAATGCGAAATTGGGCTTTGTGAATGGTACGTCGTAATGTCTACTATCACTTGTCAATTGCCTGTAATGAATGATATGTAGGTGCACAGACAGATATTTTTCAGGGAGCAGGTTCCCCCACGCAAACCAGTATCCTTTCTAGCTCGACATCGATGCACAAGCCGCAGCACCACGCAGGTGCCTCGAAACTTTCTATTAGCTGGGCACTTATGGCTCTACTGTCTGCTCTTGGGAACACATCTTGAAATTGTTTCGATATGGTCATGGTACGACCTCAATAAAATGTGTCTACTCCACATCTGCTGTACAATAAATTACTATAATAGATCAACGTTCAATGTGATGAAAAAAGAGTTTGAAATGGTACATGAAGCGAACATTTGAGCAAGACGCAGCAGATATGTATGTATAGATGGTATACGCTCTGCTCTTGCCTCCTCAAATGATTCTGCCTCACGTTGATTGTTTCACTACAAGCACTTGATCTTTCTTTTAACGGTCTTTAACGCTGGTTACAGATTTCTTCATCTATCTCCTATTGCAAAGAAAATTGTGTGTAATAGTCATTCCTTGTGTATTACAAACAATGAGACTAGATGTAGGTGCTCATTAGCGTATTGTGATAATGAGCACCTACCGTACTTACACTTCCAAAATGACCTCTGGCTTACTGTAATGTGAAGGCAACTCGAATGTGTATATATTTTCAGAGGTCATGCTTGGCGACTTTTATGGCAGGTAGCACAATGAGAATGTCGCTGGTGA